TGTCTTTTCTCTGCTAAAAGTACATTCAAAATGGATGTACTGTACATCATTGGATTCAGAAAAAAAATCTCTATCTAATGACGTGACGAAAAATATACGGTGCAATTTGAAAAACAAAAGTTCATAATCGCTTGAAATTGAAGATGGCGTTGGAAAAAATTTATTTGTAGCTTGAATCATAATATTTATCAAACCATTTCATTTGATAAATGGCTCATTAAAATCAGAATATAAATGACAGAGTTACAGCTTGGGGCGTTTTTTGTGTGACACCCTGTATATTCGAACATCTTAGCTATTTGTCGATTTAGACCAAAAATTGTTCGTGTATATCTTGAGAATGGGGTAGCTTTGTATCAAGATAGTATAAATGTAGCGCCTCGCCCGCAAGCGACCTCGGCGAGAGTGTTGATTTAATGGAAATTAAGAGAGAAGAAAACGTTTTAGGCACACTTAGAATTGTAAAGTTAAAAGAAGAAAAATCTTTTTAATTAACTTTATTAACATCCAACCAAATCTTATCGTTCGCCACTAACAACGAGTTATTCTTATCAAACTTTAACGGATCTTTCGTATTAAAATTCAAACTAACTTTGTAATCCTTTAACAACATCGTTAAAGCAATCTTAGTCTGTAATAATCCAAATTTGACTCCTAAAATTAATTATAATTAATGAAATGGATTAAATCGATTAAGAAATAACAAACCAATCGAAGATTTCGGCTCCAAACCGAAAGGTAAATAACTCAACGGATCGATTTTGGTTTTATTCTCGTTTGAAAATCGTTCTGGGATGAAATAATCCGGTTTTGGAAAAAAATTTGGATCCCTTTGAATTGCAAAAGTTGCAATTTGAATTTTTGTACCCTTTTCTAACGTCGAATCACTCCCCGGTAATCGATACGATTTATTAAACGATTTATTTATTATTGGAACGAGGGGGTATTTTCGTAAAGTCTCTAAAATAATTTTTTTTTAATCTAATTAATTAAAATAATTAATTTACCTTCAATAACTTGGTTCATATATTCAAATTTTTTGATTTTTTCGTAATCGAATTGATTAAACTTCAAAATTTCCAATCTTAATTTATCTTGAACGTCAAGATTTTTCGCCAACTCGTAAAGTGAAAAAGTTAAAACGTTTATCGCCGTTTTAAACGAAGTCGAAAAAAAATCCAAAGCTTTTAAAGCGATTTTTTCCTCATAATCGACTTCTTTGTAGATTTCCCAATTTTCGTCGATTAAAATTTGTAAAAAATCCGACTTTTTTAACCGATTTTCTTCTCGGAATTTAACACTCTCCTTAACAATCTCAAAAAAGAAATCGTTTTTTTCCAACATTTTTAATTTTTTTGAGATAATCTCAAAAATGGGGTTCTTTTTAATCACCCCGAATTTTTTATACGGGGTGAATCTTAAATAATCGTCTAAAAATCCGTTCGATTTAACCCCAAATCCGCAATTTTTAATCACATCCACCATAAAACACCTCAAAACTTCATCGATATCGATCGGTTGGGATTTATTTTCGAACTTTTTTAGCCCATCGACCATTTGTTGGGAACATTTTAAGATCGTTTCGAATAATCGTTCGATTTTTGAGTCATCCTCGAAATTAAATCGGAAATAATTTTTATTAAAAAGAATTTGTTCCCCAAAAACGTTTTTGATTACCCCCAAATCGATGGGGAAATAAATCGGAGTTGTAAAATCATAAATTCCGCAATGATTAACGTTTTCGCTTCTCATCCGGTCGTAAATCAATTTTAATTGTTCGTAACTCGAAGATTTCCTGAAAAACGGATTTTGAGAGTTTCCCAAAGGAATTTTTGGGGTGAGATAAGGAATTTTTTTGTTCTTCCAAAAGTTGTAACAGTTTTTGTAATAAACTATGATTGCGACGAAAATTGCGATGAACGAGTTTAAAAGAACCATAAAAACTTCGAGGAGAGCCATTTTTAATTATTAAATAAATTAGCTAAAATAAAATGTTTAATTTAAATGATTTTCTAAAAAATTAATTTACTTACTTTTTCAATTTAATAAGAAAAAAAAATAGAAATCTTTTAAGATTTCTTTCTTTGAGATGATTACGCTGTGAAAGTAACTCGTTTACTGAGCCAACAGCGAATTTGTAACTTTCTCGTTTGTAAAACCTCGAAAGATTACGTAAATATTAAACTATAGGTAGATGAATTCCGGTTAAATTATGCAACAACGAACAAAGTGAAGAAAATTAATGTTAAAATCATTGCCGTTTATCTAAATTTAGTTATAAATTTAGATAATTATTAATTTGGATGTTTCGACATCAATTAAACGTCAAATGTGACATAACCGATAACCTCAAATTTTGACAGATGTCATTTTGTTAATATTAATAGTTGACATATTTAAACGTAACTCAATTTTTGAACGTAGCAACTTAAAATCCAATAATTAAAAACTAAAAATTTTTGACAATTGTTAAAAAATAAGCAAAAATTTTAACGAAATTTTGGATTATTTTCCAAAAAATGCATTATTTTCATTTTCGATGCACTTTAACCAAATTTTATTTTATTTTAGAACGTAGCCACCCAAAAGGTTGTTTACCAAGTTCAAATTTTTGACAGGTGTCAATATTTGTCAACAATATTTGAAAATATTTTCATTAAATAAAAAGCTAATCGACTTTTAATACCAATTTTTAACCTCAAATTTTGACAAATGTCATTTTGCTAATATTAATAATTGGCATTTTTGAACGTAACTCATCTTTAATAAATTTTTAACGAAATCTAGGCAATTTTTGAACGTAGCACCCTAATAGAATGATTAAAAACATCAAAGTTTTGACAGCTGTCAAAAAATATGTATTAGTTAACCTTAAATTATGACAGATGTCAATTTATTCATTGATATATTCATGAATTATTTTCATTTTCGATACACTTTAATCAAATTTTATTTTATTTTAGAACGTAGCCACCCAAAAGGTTGTTTACCAAGTTCAAATCTTTGACAGGTGTCAATAAGTAATTGACGTTTTGAACAAAATCGTATAAACGTAAAAGTTACTTTACATTTTGCAACAACATTTGAACGTATTCATTAAATAGGAATCCAATCGACTCTTATAGCTATTTTTAACCTCAAATTTTGACAGATGTCATTTTGCTAATATTAATAATTGGCATTTTTGAACGTAACTCACTTTTAATGAATTTTTTAAACAAAATCTAGGCAATTTTTGAACGTAGCACCCTAAAAAAATGATTAAAAACATCCAAGTTTTGACAGCTGTCAAAAAATATGTAACATCTTTAGATTATTTTCCAAATGTAAAAATAGTAGTTGTTTCTTAACCATTTTCGAACAAATTTCTTAAAAAGTAATAAATTTATTCCAAAAGTCAATTTTTAACCTTAAATTTTGACAGATGTCATTTTGTTAAGATTAGTAATTGGCATATTTAAACATCAAATAGCAATTTTCGAATATAATAATATAATAGAACGGTTACAGACTTCAAATTTTTGACAGCTGTCAAAAAATAATTAATATTTCTATGGAAATTTTAGGTTTTTTTCTAAATATCAAGATCATTTTCTTAATTGTTAATCATTTTCGAAGATATTTCCTAAATAATAAGAAAACCGATTCTAAATGTCAACTTGTAACCTCAAATTTTGACAGATGTCAATTTAATTATTCATATGTATATTCATGCCTTATTTTCATTATCGATGTACTTTAACCAAATTTTATTTTATTCTTAAACGTAGCCATCCAAAAGGTTGTTTACCAAGTTCAAATCTTTGACAGGTGTCAATAAGCGGTTGACGTTTTGAACAAAATCGTCTAAACGTAAAAGTTACTGTATATTTCTCAACAATATTTGAACGTATTCGTTAAAAAAATAATAAATCGATTCTAAATGTCAACTTATAACTTTAAATTTTGGAACGTAGGCACGTTTGGAACGTAAATTATTCTGGAACGTAGCCATCCAAAAAGCTGTTTACCAAGTTCAAGTACTTGACAGGTGTCAATAAGCAATTGACGTTTTAAACGTAAAAGTTACTTTATATTTGTCAACAATATTTAAAAGAATTTCATTAAATAGGAAGCTAATCAACTCTTAATATCAATTTTAACCTCAAATTTTGACAGATGTCATTTTGCTAATATTAATAATTGGCATTTTTAATCGTAACTAATCTTTAATGAATTTTGAATAAAATCTAGGCAATTTTCGAACATTGGAACGGTTACAAACCTCAAATTTTTGACAGCTGTCAAAAAATAATTGATATTTTTAAAGAAATTTTAAATTCTTTTCTAAATATGAAGATCATTTTCTCATTTCTAAACCATTTTCGAACGTTTTTCCTAAATAATAAAAAAAAAATCGATTCTAAACGTCAACTTACAACCTTAAATTTTGACAGATGTCACTTTGTTAATGCTAATAACAAGCATTTTTAAACAATTTCCAACTTTAATGAATTTTGAAGGAAATTTAGTCAATTTGTGCATGTAGTACAAATATAGACTGATTAAAAATATTACATTTTTGACAACTGTCAAAAAATAATTAATATTTCTATGGAAATTTTAGGTTTTTTTCTAAATATCAAGATCATTTTCTTAATTCTTAATCATTTTCGAAGATATTTCCTAAATAATAAGAACCGATTCTAAATTTGAACTTGTAACCTCAAATTTTGACAGATGTCAATTTAGTTATTCATATATTCATACATTATTTTCATTATCGATGCACTTTAACCAAATTTTATTTTATTTTAGAATGTAGCCACCCAAAAGGTTGTTATCAACTTCAAATCTTTGACAGGTGTCAATAAGCAATTGACGTTTTGAACAAAATCGTCTAAACGTAAAATTTACTGTATATTTTTCAACAATATTTGAATGTATTCATTAAATAGGAAACCAATCGACTCTTAATACCAATTTTTAACCTCTAATTTTGACAGATGTCATTTTGTTAAGATTAATAATTGGCATATTTGAACGTAATTCATGTTTAATAAATCTTTAGCGCGAAAGTTGGGCAATTGTCGAACAGGAATAAAATAGAACGGTTACAAATTTCAAATTTTTGACAGCTGTCAAAAAATAATTAATATTTCTATGGAAATTTTAGGTTTTTTTCTAAATATCAAGATCATTTTCTTAATTCTTAATCATTTTCGAAGATATTTCCTAAATAATAAGAAAACCGATTCTAAATGTCAACTTGTAACCTCAAATTTTGACAGATGTCAATTTAATTATTCATATATTCATGCATTATTTTCATTATCGATGCATTTTAATCAAATTTTATTTTATTTTAGAACGTAGCTATCCAAAAGGTTGTTTATCATGAAGCTCAAATCTTTGACAGGTGTCAATAAGCAGTTGACGTTTTGAACAAAATCGTCTAAACGTAAAAGTTACTGTATATTTCTCAACAATATTTGAACATATTCATTAAATAGGAAACCAATCGACTCTTAATACCAATTTTTAACCTCTAATTTTGACAGATGTCATTTTATTAATATTAATAATTGACATATTTAAACGTAACTGTCAACTTTAGTGAATTTTCAACCCAATAGAATAATTAAAAACGTAAAATTTTTGACAACTGTCAAAAAATAAGCAAGAATTTTAACGAAATTTTAGATTATTTTCCTCAATATTTTCGGACAAATTTCCTAACAAAATAATAAATCGATTCTAAAAGTGAACTTTTAACCTTAAATTTTGACAGATGTCAATTTATTAATTGACATTTCTTATTTTCATTATTAATGCACTTTAAAATAATTCTAATTGTTTCTTGAACGTAGCCACTCAATAGATTGTTTATCAAGTTCAAATCTTTGACAGATGTCAAAAAAAATGACATTTTTGACGAAATCGTCTAAACGTAACAATTATTTTTTATTTCCCAACAATTTTCGAAAATATTTCGCAAATAGAAAGTTAATTAATTCTAAATATCAATTTTTAACCTCAAATTTTGACAAATGTCATTTTGTTAAGATTAATAACTACCATTTTTAAACATTATTCCCAACTTTAATCAATCCAGTAAAATAATTAAAAACTTTAAATTTTTGACAGCTGTCAAAATAAAACAACATTTTTAACGAAATTTTAGGTTATTTTTCAAATGTAAAAGTAATATTGTTGTTTCCAACCATTTTTGAACGTATTTCAGAAAAAAAATAATGAATCGATTCTAAATCACACCTTAAATTTTGACAGGTGTCAATTTAATAATTGACATTTTTACACTTTATTTTCATATTTAATGCATTTTAAGCTAATTCTAAGTGATTCCTGAACGTAGCCACCCAACATATTGTTTATCAAGTTCAAATCTTTGACAGATGTCAAAAAAATGACATTTTTGACGAAATTGTCTCAACGTAAATTTTTAATTTGTAAATATTTCTCGAATAAGAAGTTAATTGATTCTAAATATCGATTTTTAACCTCAAATTTTGACAGATGTCATTTTCTTAATATTAATAACTACCATTTTTAAACATAACTTCCAATTTTAATGAATTTTAAAGAAAATTTAGTCAATTTGTTGCAGCACCTAATAGAATGATTAAAAACTTCAAATTTTTGACAAGTGTCAAAAAATAAGCAACATTTTTAACAAAATTTTAGGTTATTTTCCAAATGTAAAAATAGTATTGTTGTTTCCTAACCATTTTCGAACAAATTTACCAAAAAAAATAATAAATGGATTCTAAAAGTCAACTTTTAACCTTAAATTTTGACAGATGTCAATTTAATAATTGACATTTTTACACCTTATTTTCATTATAATTAGTTCTAATTAGTTTATAATTAATTCATTATAAGTAATTCCTGAACGTAGCCACTCAAAATATTGTTTATCAATCAAGTTCAAATATTTGACAGATGTCATTTTGTTAATATTAATAATT